GAATGCTAGTTGAACTGGGAATGCTAGTTGAACTGGGAATGCTAGTTGCCAGCGCTGTCAAAACTTTTCAAGCTATCATAGCGCTGTAAAATAGCGTTCTCACCCCCTTCAAAACCCCGCTGCGGTACTGATCTGACGATCGAGGATCCTCGCCCGACTGGCGTCCACTTTCCCTTAAACAGGCAGAAAGTGTTTAGTCGAGGCACCGACACGTGTGTCAGCCCCATTCTATGGCGCTCTAAAGCTTCCATCGTCGAGAAAAACTCAGGGCCGTTTGCACCTCCGTCATGTTGGCCGTGTCCGCAACAACACGTGAACCGGTCAACACCGTTTTCAAACTGCCGCGCTCTGCACATGCATCAGAAAATTTTCACCCACACTCAGCCACCTCTCTCCATTCCACGCGCATCACCATAGTCTGAGGCTCAATTAAGCTCGGTTGTACCGATCCATCTGTCACGCCAAGCACTTCAACTACTCATCTCCCACCTGTCGCTCAATTTCAAGATGGCTAAGGTCTCGCCTACCGCGGATAATGGTCATGCCAAAGCCCCGACTCTTGGCCCGGACACTGGACGCCAACGACCCCCAGCCACTCCGCCTTACCAAAGTTCAGAAGCCATCACCGCGCCGGCGACACTCAATGCCTGCAAATTCAATATCCAAACGACAGCTCGGTCATTGCCAACCTCCGTCGGACCACCTTCAAAGAGGTTCATGAGCTTATGGATGGCAACGTTAAGTGCGTTCCCTGCAACTAGATGTAGCAGAGCAACGTGCTGCGATCCCCAAAACGAAAACAGGCTCCGTTCTGGGAACCTCGGGGAATCGTGACTGATAAGGGTAGTCCGCCCAACACAACGTGCCGGCGGACCAGGGCATTCAACGTTAACGCCGGCCAGGCAAAGGACATAGTCCGGCTTGGGGGCTCGGTATGCCTAACCTTGCACGATAACAGTTATAGCGAGAATCTTCTGATAAAGAGTGGTGTTGAAAGACACGGCATGTGCAAGCATGCGGAAGTACGTGAAACAAGGCATGCGCAATTCTGAGCGCGTCAGATGGTAATGGTTGTCCTTGACGCTTACCCAACCTGTCCCAATCCTAGGGGACAGCCTTCTGCATCTTGGGTCCGGAACCACGGCTCTTTGTTCCTGGTACCTGCAGTCTACACCTCCAGCATAAATAGCCCTAAGCGCGGCAAGGGGCACTGTTAAAACTCCTAGAGAAAATACGGGCAAGACGTTTGAACAGTCCTACTTTCCGCATTAAGCTTATTTATGCTAGAGGACGTGTAAACAAGGCGAGGAAGCTACAGTCTGCGGTGCATGACTTTTCTTTTGCCGAGGGCTGCAGCCACTATTTGAGTAGCGGATGGGGAAAGACCGTTGGACTGGACACCCCGACTTTCGTACGGATATGTTACGTTATAAAGGCTTGGGTTCTGAACTGCACACCTTCCAGCAGGAGTAACAATTCATCTCGGCATTATCTCTTCCAACAGTCTCTTCAGTCAGTGTCACAAAGTACTACTCAAGACCAACTATGGACTCATCCGCAGAGAGCATATCCCGTGGCGCACGCCGCGAAGATTCCCAACCTCTCCTGGAACTGGCCAAATCCACATCCCATGAATTCCCCGCCTCAAAATCATCAACGCAGTTCTCCCCCGCATGGGAACCAAGTCCATGGCCTTGGCCTACCAAACCTTAGGTTTAGTGCACCACGCCCTCCTCGAGGAGACCTTTGACACGCCCTGGTCCCTCCTCGAAGAAGCGACAGAAGCAACCTGGCCTGGTGTCTACGGTGCACCCTCCCCCCCTCGTCCACCATACACTCGGCAGGACTGGGATTGCCTCTGGGGCAACGACTACGATGTCGGTACCGATCTGGCTGGTCCGTTTATGCTGGAACTCATCAAGGCCTACCCCGAGGCAAAAGTGGTTGTGATACAGCGAGATTTTGCACCGTGGTGGGAGAGCTTCAAATATCAGCTGTTTGATGGCGTGACGGCGCAGCCGCGTGCGGCGATCACGAAGTTTGTGTACTGGAACGTTTTCGGTGTCACGTCGGTGCATGCAATGAGCAAACTGTTCTTTGGGATGCTGGGTGGACGGACAAAAGAGGAATGCGAGAAGAAGGCATATGAGCGGTATTATGAAGAAGTTCGAAGGGCTGTGCCAGAGAGCAGGAGGCTCGAGTATCAACTCAACCATGGGTGGGGGCCTCTCTGTAAATTTCTGGGGGTTGAAGTGCCAAACACGGAATTTCCGCGAGTTAACTCGACAGAGGAGTTTCGACAGGACATCAAGGCGAGGTTTTTGAGAATTTGGAATTGCAGCAAAAGCTGCATTGCCGGTGATTGTTGGGTTGGTCATCGTTTTGCTGGCTTGGCTTGGTGTAAGGTACCTCTGACGGACTGCGTCTTGTGGTTCATCGATTCAGAACTGAATGTATAGGCAATTAGCCCGTCAAATCAAAAAAGTCTTCAAACATTATTATACTGACAGCGTAGTCAATGACAATTACAATGGGTTTCTACGCTGGTACAACGATGGGGGATTTCAAGGCCCGCGCCTAGGACGCGCGGATGACAAGCTAACGTCATGCATGCACTCGTGCCCCCAGCAGCCGCCCGCCTTGAAATTTCAGATTACACTATCCTTCTAATAAAAACTTATAACTAGTTACCTTATAGTAATCTAATATTTGCCTTACTAATAGTTATAGTAATAAAGTTAGTACTTCTTTGAACTAATTTTGCGAGTTTACCTTGAATGTCTATCTTAGTCTACACCACTTAGCATAATTATCTGTAAGGTAACGTTATTAGAAAATCGTAGCCCTAGAAACTCAGAAGCTCGGTTTCCGATGCCCTACTCTTGTAGATCGACAAGCGATCAGGGGGGTGTAGTTAAGCGAATGTAAGGGGTAAGAAAGTTCTGTGCACCGAGCTATCTTATAGGTTCTAGATGGCTCCAATCCGGTTGAGAATGGGAAAGGGTGAAGGAACGATCTTCATTCATTACTACCTTCAATCATCACTCCTGGGTCGCTCACGAGGGAACCAAACCTACTGTTGTTAGCTCTCATCTGAGTGTTAACCGTGGATACGCGGCTGTTTGTCATTCCAACAGTTGGTCAACAGGAGTCGTCACTGATGAGCTCGGCACAGGGGTCTACGGATGTCGCTACCAAAAGAATTGGCTCACCGCCCTCAATGCCAAGACCACCCGAATATCAACCCCTGTAAGCCAATGTAAGCCGCTGCGAAACAGGTGCGTTTTCAATCACCTTCATAATCGTTAATCATCCCAGTCTAGAAGTAATGAATCTAGTCCGCACTCGACCCCGGAGCCAAAACAACATATTGACGGCAGTTCTCTGACCTCTCTTCTGCGTATTGGTTCCCGCCCTTCAAGCGAATGACCTGGCGGTGAGCCAATTTTTTGGGAGCGTCATCCGTAGAGCTTAGGAGATGAGGTCTAAAGTGGAGACAACAAATGGGCCCTCTGGACTCTTGGCATTCGGCCGGACCCGGCGAGTTTGGACGGGTGGCGCATAGCGTCGGCTTGTTGGAGAACGTGGGCAATATCCCACCATCCCACATTCCATGCCTTTCCCCCACCCAGTCGCACACATCATCCTCTATTTCGCCATAGGCAGCTTGAGGAACGCCACTCCAGCCCATTGCGATCTGGCTCCAGACGCCCCTGATCTCACATAAAGTCCAAAACAATCCCGCAACACACGCCAAAAGCTACTTCAAAATTGCTCGGACCAATACTACGCCCCACTTAGAACACGATTCAAACAGCATCCACACCATGTTGCAAGAAGAACCGAGGCCGCCGGTGCCGATTCTCGAGGCGCCGAAACTCAGCGTCAAGAACTCGGCCACCGAGTTGATTGGCAACACGCCGCTCGTCCGGCTGAACAAGGTTCCCCAGTCGTTTGGCGTCGAGGCCGAGGTGTTTGCCAAGGTAGAGTTGTTCAATGCTGGCGGGAGCGTAAAGGACAGGATAGCGCTGCGCATGATCGAGGAGGCCGAAAAGAGCGGGCGTATTAAGCCTGGAGATACCCTTATAGAACCCACCAGCGGCAATACGTGAGTGCTCCAGGTCGCGGTGAAGTTGCACCCATTATTGGTGTTATTGACGTAAGCATAGCGGCATAGGTCTGGCGCTGGTCGGCGCAATCAAGGGCTACAAAACCATCATTACCCTCCCCGAGAAGATGTCAGCCGAGAAGGTGTCGGTTCTCCGTGCGCTTGGTGCCACCATCATCCGAACGCCCACCCAGGCCGCCTGGGACAGCCCGGAAAGCCACATCGGTGTTGCGAGGCGTCTGCTGAAGGAGATTCCAAACTCGCACATCCTCGACCAGTACACAAACGAAAACAACCCGCTCGCCCACGAGTTCGGCACCGCCGAGGAGATCTGGGCGCAGACTGGCGGCAAAATTACGGCCGTGGTTGCTGGCGCAGGAACCGGCGGTACCATCAGCGGGATCGCCAAGGGCCTCAGGAAACATGACAATAACATCAAAGTCATTGCAGCAGACCCACACGGAAGCATTCTCGCTCTTCCAGAGTCCCTGAATGAGGAGAAGGCAAATATTCCGTACAAAGTGGAGGGTATTGGCTACGATTTCATTCCAGAGGTGTTGAGCCGGGATCTTGTGGACAAGTGGTACAAGACAGATGACCGCGAGTCGTTTCAGCTCGCCAGGCGGCTTATCGCCGAGGAGGGGCTTCTTGTCGGCGGCAGCTCCGGCAGCGCTATGGCGGCCATGCTCAAGGCCGTGAAGGACTTTGGGTTCGGCAAGGGGGATGTGGTGGTTGTTGTTCTCCCGGACAGCATTCGCTCGTACCTGTCCAAGTTCGCTGACGACGACTGGCTGGCCGCCAACGGTCTCCTGCCCAATGACGCCGAGAACGTTGACGGCGAAGACACCACCCCGCAACCCAAGACACTCAGCCAGAGCACCGCCGATTCCTACTCGGGCGCCACCGTCCGGTCCCTCCGTCTCAAACCCGTGACATCCGTTCTCACCACCAGCACTTGCTCCGAGGCCATTGAGACGATGCGCGACAAGGGCTTTGACCAGCTGCCCGTCCTCACTCCCACCGGCGGCAAACTGGCTGGCTTGGTTACGCTGGGCAACCTCCTCAGCTACATCTCGCGCGGCAGGGCGTCGCCCCAGAGCCCGGTCAAAGATGTGATGTTCGACTTTAGCCGTATCGACGAGGTTGTGACGGACCCACGGAGGTTCAGCTCGGATCTCAAGGGCAAGAAGCGCAAGTTTGTCGAGATCACCATGGACACCCCGCTTTCTGCGCTCAGCCGGTTCCTGGAGTGGAACAGCGCCGCCGTGGTGACGGAGAAGGTCGAGGGCGAAGGGTCGAAGCCGGTTGCCGTCGTCACCAAAGTCGACTTGCTGACCTGGATGGTGAGGAAGAAGTCATAGACAGGCGGAGGAGTGTGAGTGGTTTCTGTCAAAAGTAAGGTAAGGAGCAACTTAGACTCAACATCTGGTTATTACATCAGACAGCAGTTGTTGGACTCGGAAACTTCAGCATTAGATAGGCTCAACCCGTGCACAAGGGTAAATACCATAGCTTTTGTATACCCACGAATAGACTCAATCAGTCATTTACTAGACCACACGCCTCGATTACACTACTCATGCCCAGTGCAGCCCTAATCTCGCCTCTAAATCCTCTCGCCGATCCATTTCCACCACTTATCCGCCCCTGGCCCATCCCCAACAACATTCCCCCCGATAACCTCCACCTCAATATCAAACTCGACCATCTCCTTGAAACTAAACTTGTCGCTCCCGACAGCCCCCAACCACCCTTCCCCTTCCTCCCCACCCACGACCTCCCCATCAGCCTCCCCCGAGTCCAACAGCCCTTTACTCCTCGTCTTGCGAATCCGGCTGAGCTCCGCCTCAAGCTGACTTTTGACCAGCGCCGCCGGCAGCGCGGTGAACAGATCCAGTTTGTTGGCCGCCACCAGCACGGGCACGTTCGAGGGCGCGCGCGACCCGCTGCGCCGGAGGAAGCGCCTCTGCAGCGTCAGGAGCACGTCGTAGAGGTACTCGGCCGTCGATGACAGCGCGGCGCTGTCCGTGTCTGCGAGGGCGGCGGCGTCGACCAGGAAAACGAGGGCTTTGAGTTTTGATTTGGAGGTTTCGGCTCCTTCCCCCTTTTGGGCGGCGGGGGAGACGAGGAGGGATGGGGTGATGGTTGCGGAGGGGGAGGCGAGGTGCGCGAGGGCGTGACGGCGGAGTTTGGGGTGGCCTGGCGTGTCGATCAGAAGGAATTTCTTTGCGGTCGCTCCTGTTGCGTCGAGGTCGGTGCGGTAGGTAGTGGTCGGCCTGTCAGTTGAAACGGCGAGCTCGACGGTCGAGGGCGTCTGGGAGGTGTGGGTTTCGGCGACAGGGGTAGGGACCGCGGGGTTGTTGTTGTGGTAGAGGGGCCCGCGCTCGAAGAGGGTGAGCAGGGCAGTCTTGCCGGCGCCCGAGGGACCGACGAGCAAGACGGATGGGAGAGTTGTATAGGGTGTTGTTGCCGAGAAGATGAAATGTAGGATGATGGGAATCAGCAGGACGATGGCCAGCCCGATCGAGATGACGCTTGGGGTCGGCGTGAGGGATGCCTCGAAGGCGGCTTTGAGCGTGTCGATTGTCGACATGTTGGTTGCTGGGCTGTGCTGCCGCCTCCCGCAAGAGCCGGGCGAGGATATTGAGGTAGTGGCGCAATGTTGTTTATGATGCAGGCCAAGCGGTCATTCAAGTAGTGCGTCTCTGTTCTGGAGTCGGACGGGTCGCTGTGTCCCGGTGTAGAGTTATCGGGCCATTGTCATCCGATTTCACAGTATCGGATCATGGCGATTCTAGCTGTGGATGCCAGGTTGTGGTTGTGGAGATAAAAGGTCCCACTGCGGTACGGAGGCTCATCCGATCTGTCCTGTCAAGAACGCTCAGAGTTTACGCTGAGATGTCCAGGACAAACCCACCGACAGATGATTTAGTCCTCTAAGGTTTTTCCGAGCTTCTATAGTATCTCTAGCTCCCTAGTTCATATTTCCAATGATGCTTGAGTTTTCTGGCCCCCCGTGACAGTGGCGTATTCGGCTACCTCATGCTTACATCCTTTCCCGCGTGTAGGGACATTTTCCCGTTTGTGCAAATGATCACCGTAGCCCCACATGCAGCTAGCAGTTGGGGCCCGGTCTCGGCTGCTGGATCGGTCATGTTCAGCGAATCGCGAGGCCGTCACTTGAAGTTCGGTAGCTCAGCCTCGTTGAGCTGCCGGGTTGGTTGGCCGTTGACAGCCTAAGCCGACCCTGAATTCGTTCTGGACAACCCCTGAAAAGTGCAAGGTGAACGCGCCTCACCGCAAGGTCCTTCTTCCAGGCCAACGACGGCCCGTTGTTTTTCCAAACTGAACAGCAGTGACGCGCAGCTCCCTGCACACTCGCCCTGCTGTAGTTGTCTTCTCCATTGAACACCCTTTCGTCCTCACGCTTCGCCGTTGCCGTAACCTTCCGTCATCCATCCGATCAAGCCTCCGTCCTGCAAGTATATACAACAGGTACTCAGCGACAGACCGGCGGACCAACGCGGTTCAGAATCAAGGCGCACGTCGACGATGGCGGCGCAACAGCACGATGCCGGGCCACCCGCGAACGGTGCGCCGACGCAGCCGCCCTCCAAATCGGAAACCGCTACGCCAAAGTTGAACAATGAGGTGGAGCTCGGCAACATGGTTGGAGAGTCTGCGCAGAACGACATCATGCAGATGGCAAGGGTTGGGGACATTGCCGGCATGGAGAAGCTGTTCGAGACGAGCGAGTACGATGCAACCTACACAGACGACGAGGGCATCACCCCGTTACATGTATGCTCATGACTTGACCTGACACGGCCATCTCGCTGACAATCCTCCGTTCAGTGGGCCGCCATCAACAACCAGTACGCCATGTGCAAGTTTCTGATCGAGCGCGGCGCCCCGATCAACAAGAAGGGCGGAGAGAGCGTGGCGACGCCGCTGCAATGGGCCGCCCAGCGCTGCCACTACTACACCGTACATCTGCTCCTCCAACACGGCGCCGATCCCCTGATCACCGACGCCCAGGGCTACAACACGCTCCATATCAGCACCTTTAACGGAAACCTCCTCCTGATTATCTTGCTGCTCCACCAGGGCATCCCAGTCGACGTCGAAGACGCCTACGGCCACACCGGTCTGATGTGGTCCGCCTACAAAGGGTATCCAGCCTGTGTGGATGTCTTTCTACGATGGGGAGCCAGCGTTCACGCGAAGGACGAGCAAGGGTTTACAGCACTGCATTGGGCGCTGGTCAAGGGAAGCTCGGGCTGCATACAGAAGATCATCGAATACGGCGCAGACCGGTTCGCCAAGACGACGACGGGCAAGACGCCGTCGATCACTGCAAGGGAGCTCAACACGGCGGCGGCGTGGCACAAGGCGCTGTACGAGTGCGGCTACGACGAGGAAGGAAACCCTGTCGTCCCGAGCTGGCCGGGGGCGAGCTACCTGCTAAAGGACAGGAGGGGATTCACGACCAAGTTCTTCTTCTTGTGGCCGTTCGTGCTGGTGTGGGCGACGATAACCCTCTTTGCGCGCATGCCCGTGTATGCGGGCATTCCGTTTGGGCTGCTGGCTGCGTACACGGCGCAGTGGGTGGGTAAGCAGCTCCTTACCTATGCGCCGCCAGACATGAGGCAGTTTGAGAAGACGGTACGTCCACCCAATATGTCGGCTGCTCTCGGGTTTTTGCTGACCTCCTCGCAGCCTTGGATGGCGGGCATCTTCGCCGCATCGCTATCTTTGGTGGGTCTAAATTGGCTTTTCACGGTCTTCCCAGGCACTGCGTTTGGCGATGGTGAGTGTTTCCCTAGTTTGGAAACCGTGTCGTGTTGCTAATCGCTCGTAGATGGGACGTGGTTGTGGAATTTTCTGTTCGCCGTCTTCTTTGCCCTTACCGCCTTCTTCTACACCAGATGCATGGTCGACGACCCAGGCTTCGTGCCAAAGCTCAACGGCATTGCCGAGCAGAAGGCAGTGATCGACGGGCTGATCAGCCTGTGGAAATACGACGAAGCGCACTTCTGCGTGACGTGCATGATTCGGACGCCCCTACGAAGCAAGCACTGCCGTAGGTGTCAGCGCTGCGTGGCCAAGCATGACCAGTAAGTCGCTGAGCAGGCTCGGAAGCATGCGGCTAACCATGTACAGTCACTGCCCCTGGGTCTACAATTGCATCGGCGTCAACAACCACCGCCACTTCTTCATCTACCTCATCAGCCTCACCCTCGGCGTCCTCGTCTACGATATGCTTACCTATCGCTGTTCGTCCCACTCCAACCCCTCTTTTCCCTTGTATACACCACTAACCTCCTCCGCCAGATTTCTCCACCGTAACACCCATCGCCCCCGACGAATGCGCCATCCTTGCCCCGTCCCTCTGCCGCGTCATCAACGCCGACGCCTACAGTCTCCTTCTCGCCATCTGGGCCTCGCTGCAGCTCACCTGGGTTAGCATGCTCCTCTTTGTCCAGTTCATCCAGATCAGCCGCGCCATGACAACCTACGAAAATATGTTTGGCGTCAACCTCCGCGCCGCCGCGTCCCTCGCGAGCGCCTTTACCTCCACCGGCGCCCCGCTCGACCCGTCCACGGCCGCGCCGCCCGGCGGGTCCGACGTCGGCCCGCATGCCCCGCCCGGGCATCACCACCACCACGGCGGTGGCTTCCTGAAGACGTGGGGCCGGCTGTTGGGCGTCGACACGTTTATTGAGACGGCACGCGGCAGGGGCGCCGCGGCTGGGGGGAGGCGGAGGGAGGCCGGGAGCAGGAATCCGTTTAGTAGGGGGTGTATGGCGAATTGTAGGGACTTTTGGTGCGATCCGGCGCCGGTGTTTGGGAAACGGGAGACTGGGGCCGCGGTGTTGGGCGGCGTGCCGGTGAATTATACTGAGATGTACGAGAGTCCGGCGGTTATGGATGTGTTGAGGGTAGGAGGAGGAGGGAGGAGGGGGGCGTATGAGGCTGTAGCCGGGGAGGAGGTTTAGGCGGATGGGTGAAGATACTGATGAGCTCATGATGGTTGTGGCATGATGCGTTATGTACGAGGTGCCGTGTTTAAATGGCTGGTTGCGTCGTTGCTGCTGAAGAAGGCCTGGAGTCTGGAAATTCTGCGTATAGAAGTGGGATTGTTTGCGGACTGCGGTATGATTTCGGGCCATGAGCAAAGGTCTGGTGTTATCGGACGTTTGGACGGAGATAATGGGCTATCCCATTTTTGATCCCAAATAAATAATCCTAACACCTCATCGCCCTGTCGCCTATACCAACAGCTTCGGAATGTCTCCATCGACTACAGATGGACAAATATCCGGTATCCGTGCGACGTCGGGCAGGGCCTACTGCCAACGGTGGTCCAGTCGGCATCCAGATTCTCTCCACATGGCTGGCATTGGTTCGCATGGTACTTGGGTGAGAAATGGTCGCATCTGTTAGTAAGCAGCAGGTTTATCCGTATTCAGGAACGACAGCACAAATGGGAGTGTGTGTGCCCTCCTGACGGCATCGCCAAGAATGCCCCGGCTTATTAACGCGTGTAAGACCACTGCGGATGCTTACACAGCAGCCAAGATGCAATGGAACCCCAACAGGGGTGCGTGTGAGCTTGGGATACTTGGCCGGTGATATTATTGATGGACGGCCTAAACTCCGCCTGCGGAGTCGATATTCCGCTCATCGAATCGACACGGCTCGGTCCTTACTATGACTTGTCCCGGAAGAATATATATTGGTATGGGTTGAATTCCAAGGACGACGACCTCCAGCAAGGCCTCATTCACGGACATTCCGGGTTACATCTAGTCCAGCCAGCCAACATGCGCGTGCCGTCATTCTCTATTCTATCGACCGCCCTGCTCCTCGTCGGAGGCTCAGTGGCTGGGTGCTATGGGAAGCCTAGCACCTGCCTCGACGCCTCGATTGTTGCACATACCGGCACGCCGGTTGGCAAGGAAGTCAAGCACGGCAACCGTAAGCTGGATCAGAACTCAGGCCAATCCTAAGCTAACTCGCCTCTTAGTTACGCTTTACATCTCCCAGCCGGACAAGAAGAATGCCCGCGCCAAGGCCAGAGCCGGCGCAGCGGTCCTCCTCTTGACCGACGTTTTTGGCCTCGCCCTGCCCGAGAACAGGCTGTCTGTCGAATCTCTCTCCGCTTAACATGTCATGCATCTGATACTAACTCCTCCCTCAGACTGGCCGATAGTTACGCCCGTGCTGGCTATCTCACCGTCGTGCCCGACCTCTTCAACGGCAGCCCAGCCCCAGGCGACATCAACGTGCCCGGTTTCAACACGACCGAGTTTCTCGCGCAGCACGGCCCCTCGGTCACGGACCCCATCATCGCGGCCACCGTCTCGTACCTGCGCAGCAAGCTGGGCGTGATCCGCATCGCCGCGCCGGGCTACTGCTTCGGGGGGCGCTACGCCTTCCGCTTCCTGGACGACGACGCGCCCGCGGGCGGCGTCGACGTCGGCTTCGCCGCGCATCCCAGCCTGCTAGAGGCCGGCGAGATCGCGGCCATCCGGGGACCGGTGTCGATCGCGGCGGCGGACAACGATAACCTGTTTGATGCGGCGGCGAGGGCGGCTGCCGAGAAGGTGCTCGCCGAGAAGCCCGAGAAGGTGCCGTACCAAGTGAATCTGTACTCTGGCACGAGCCACGGGTTTGGCGTGCGCGTCAACCTGACAGATCCGCAGCAGAAGTATGCCAAGGAGCAAGCTTTCTTGCAGGCGGCCAGGTGGTTTGATCACTCGTTTGGGCTGGAGTAGGGGGTCATGGTTGGGAGGTCGTCGCCCGTCCATGTGATCCTTAGTGGACTAGGACGTGGCAGGGCAGAGCCTCCAGCGTTTGCAATCAATTCGTGTTGATGCTGTTGGGGCGTCATGATTGTGATGTGGACTACCTTATGATTGATAGCAACGGGTTGCTTCAGTGACCAGGCGGCGGTGCTTGCTTGAGCCCTACAGGCCGTTCATATATGGTCACCGGGTTGCCCCAGGTGTATGAGAGTGCGTCAAAGATGAGACCTTGGTTCTTGAAATCAGCCGTGGTAAGGGAGCAGCGAATTTCGGAGGGCGGCGATGGCAGAACTTGAACCAAACGGATGCTGGTAGGGGTCGGTAAGGGGTCTTTTTTGAAATCGTCAGATCCACCATCGTCGGAAACTTAAAACTGAACGATGAACTGACGTTGGACGAAATTTTACAAGTGGATGTGATAGGACTTGGATGAGTTGGGCGGAGATGCAAAGAGAGAAACCCCGTGAAGATGAAGTCACTACCTCCTGCTCAGGCAAAGCCGCAAAGGTGTGGTGCGCCTGCTGCGCCTTCCCTCTGAACGATGAGCAATGGCTGATCGATCTTTTCGTGCCGGCTGTTGCCTGGTGAGTGCGGCTAATGATGCCTAACGAAACAGACTTTCCGACGAATCCTTTTCTGGATCCGAGAAAAACACCAATATATTTGATCACAGCCACGCCTCACCAGCGGTACCCTCTTGAACCGACGCCTTGCCTTCCAACCGCATTGCCATACGATCAGCCGATTTTCTGGAGATCTATTCTGACATGGCCACAAGCACTGCAGCGGGGAAGGCCCACGTATTGAATGAGTGCTCGCATGGCTTTTGTCCCACCTGCAATACGCTGGACTCACGAGTGCAGTGGCTCAAGGCAGGCTCAACAACAGAAACGAGGTTAAGTGGAGCAAAGATTTACTTGTTCACATTTAAGAGACGGACTGATGCTAAGACCAGGCTACGGCGGCGTCAGCCAAACTTGATGTAGGGGCCGAAGGGATTCGGAGGCGCAGACGCTTATCAGCTTTGCTAGCGCTTGAACTTGGCCTAGATAGCTACAACCGTACAGTAGCTGTACTAGTCGGCGAAACTGTTAGACGCAGCGGTTGAATATGCCCTGGACCAACCCGGGAATCTGCTTGCCCAGTTAAGTAATATATGGTATGGACCTTGGTTGAACGCTTGAATCGCTCGCACCGAGCAAGCAGAACCCGAGGCTCGGGGTAAGTCACTCAAACAACATTCGTGTCCTGCCCGGGTCTGTTCTTAGATGCAGAGTAACGCTGTGTATGTACATTACAATCAGCCACGGACGTCGTGCTACCCGACTCTGAGCTGTCGTGTATCCTATCGCGGAGGCTTGTTCTCAGACATCAACTTCAAGTTTTTAACAAAATCTCCGAGACGATCGACGACGGGAGATGAACCAAAATAATGTATTGCGATTGAAAGCCGTACTATCTACGCCTGTCCCGTCTATGTCCGTCATTATGAATATGTCATCAGACACTACGATCCTGCGGCTTGTGTGACGTGACGTCTCTGCCCCGGACCGGCCGTGCCATGCCTGTAATCAGGCTCTCTTCAGCACGATCGTTTCCCTCAGATGCCGAACGAGGACCACTTCCCAGCGGCTACCACCGCCACGAGCAAAAGAGGAAATAATGGGTAATGTACAGGTTATACGCGTTGAGCACAATCAGCGGGATGGTGTGGTACCATTCGAACCCGGTCAGGACGCGGTACGTCACGGCCGACACCATCCCCCCGACCGAGACGATGGTCCACAGCCAGCAGAGGATGCGCATGTTGCGGTACTTGTTGCTCTTGTGCGCTTTCTTGTCGCCCGACGCGGCCCACAGCAGCTCGATGCCGAGCAAGCGGTCTTTGATGGCCGTCAGGTAGGCATACGACTGCACCACCATGACGTGCTGTACGTTGAAGCCGTACTTGGCCTTGGCCCAGAAGCGGAAGAGGAGTGAGCCGTAGATGATGGACGGGATGGCAAACGCCAGATTGTAGTACTTAAACCATTCCGGCCTGAAGTACAGGAGGAGGGTACCCGGGATCGGCGAGATGAAGATGCCGAGCGAGACGGCCGAGTAGTACAGGAGGCCTGGTAAAGTCAGCTGAAGTGCTCGTTCGACTGGATCTGACAAGGCCTACCGCAGAGGTAGCAAATCTTTTGCATGAGGGTCAGATTTGATACCCAGAAGTGCTTGGTGGTGAGCAGCGTGGTGCTGCCCCGTGCCCAGCGCATCTGCTGCGAGAAAAAGGAACGCGGTGTGTTGGGGCAGATGCCCGTCGCCAGACACAGCGGCACGTACTTGACCTTCCAGCCGCGGTCAACAGCCCCGAACCTGATATCGGAACATCAGCAAATCACTCAACCCTTGATGTCCATGTGAGACTCGGACTCACCCAGTATGAACATCCTCCGAGAAGCCAATCTCGGCGGTCCCGCCAACCTCCTCCAGCGCCGCCCTCCTATACACGGCATTGCTCCCCACGCAGATGGAGGCCCCCCACTTGTTCCGATTGACCTGCACGACGCGGTAGAACAGCTCCTGCGTGGCCCCCGCACCCTGCTCGACCCAAGTCTGGTCATCCGTCACCCGGAAGTACTGCGGACTTTGCACGATAGCCGTCTTGTCATCGGCCATGTGCTCGACGACCAGCTCTCGCAAGAAATCCGACCGGGGGCAAAAGTCCGCATCAAAGATGGCAAAGAAGTCGCCATCTGTGCGCGCAAACGCCCAGCGGAGATTGCCCGCCTTCCTCAGTCGCGGCCGGTCGTCGCGGACAATGTAGTTGAACCCATACTGCGCCGCCAGCGCCCGGACGGCCACCGAGTCCCCGTCGTCGAGCACGTACACCTTGAGCTTGTGGGCAGGCCAGTCGAGCGCAATGATGTGCTTGTACGTGTTCTCGAGGATCTCAAGCGGTTCCGAGCAGCAGGGCAAATAGACGTCCACTGTGGGCGCGGTCTTGTCATTGATGGGGAACTGCGCGGCAATCTCCTTGTGGCCGTCGTAGTCCCAGTCGCGGCCCACGACGCCGACAAAGTAGGAGATCATGAGGTAGACGTTGAGAAAGCCCACAAAGACGCCGTACCACGAAAAGACGGGCGAGCTGATGGCGAAGAGCCACATGCCTGCCGACAGCGATAGGAAGGAGAATACGCCAAAGATGTAAAGCGGGATGCGGTTGGTGTGGATGTACTTGAGCTTCTCCTCGTCTGTGGGACCGGTGGGAAAGACGAGGCCTGGTTCCTCGCGGGGGCAGTACGTCCGCCGAAAGGCATCGCAGCTGCGCTTGAAGGGGTTGCGGCTCTTTTTAGCGGAGGTTGATTCTCCCTCTGCTGCTGCACCACCGCCCTTCTCGGGGTCAGAGTAAGCAGCGGCCGGCGACGCAGCCCCTCGCTCGACGTCGTCGTCTGAGCTGGAAAGCTGGCCCATCTTCTCATTCAATACTTCCTTCTGCCGAGGGGCTGGAGCCTGAGTCTGTTGTCAGTCACTGAAGGGGTGCATGGTAATTGTGAGCGACTTACAATAGCATCCACGTCGCTCCTCAGTGCTGCCGGTTGGGGCCTTGTCACCACAGAGCCAGAGAGGGATGCCGGGTTCTGATACCGCCCATTAGCACAGTGGACAACCTCCCGAGCGCCGGGCAACATACGAGGGAGGTCCTCGACACCGCAGCCGGCGACGATGCCTCGGAAGGATCCCTAAACGGATCCCGACTCTCACTGCTCGATGGAATGCTCCGTTGCGAGCCCGGTGTCCCGGGCCGGGACGAATTAGCGATTGAGGCCATCCAGGGCAGCTATTCCAGACAGGCTTATCCTGAAAGAACGACAGTTGCTTGCTTGCCAGAAGGAGCGTCTCTTTTAGGTGGCTACTAGCGGGACGCGGAAGGAAAGTGTGTGACGACTTTGACGCACCCGCGATATAAGGACATGGCCGGGCAGAAAACAGGGGCCAAAATCACCAGCCGACGATCCAAGGTTGCGGTGTTTGTCGTGTCGGCGGGACACCGGCCTCGGCTGCACAGTGATCTGCCCGAATGGGAAACCAGGGCAGGGGTGATTCAGCCCGCCCTCATTGAAGAGACAGGATAATCGCCATGCTAGGAAAGCCCAGGTCGTTGTCCACTGGGCGACCGATTGCACCGAGACCCAATCTGACGAGCCCGAGATGTTGCCCAGCCTACGGTTGTCGAGAGGCCTGAACACGCAAAAAAGAGGAAAAGAAAGCCCGTGATCGACATGTATAAGTCGTACACCGCAGGTACCTGTCTCAGTCCTGGTTTCTGAAATGGGATAGGCGGCCAGCCGCAAGTGGATCCTCGATCAGAACAGCAGTACAACTGAGGCTCCAACGATGCGGATGATCGACACGCCAGACAGCCACGACGCTTGGATCCGTGCCGCCAACGACGCCTCCGACGATACCGCCTCCGACGATACCGCCTCCGACGATACCGCCTCCGACGGAGTGCAGCCCGTCGGGGTCTGTGCAAGGACGAGGGTTGGGGCAGGTCCGGGCAGCACATTCACGCCATATCGCGACGACGAGAAAGTGACGTTCCCCGCGGCATAGTACGTTTCGCTCCCAAACCCGACGGCCCCCACATGGGACGCAGGAGATACAAGCCCGTTGCGCCAGAGATAATTGAGAAGGGGTGATACATCATCCGCGAAGCTGGTCTCGTTCGACCCGGCAACCCATGTGAAGACGGCCGTGCCTCTCTGGTTCTTTCCGTGGTACAGGACGCTGCGGCAAGCGCTTGTCAGCAAAAGGAGATCGTGGTGACCGGGGGGTCCTGATGCAAGGTACAGTACAATTCGGTGTGACCAACTGTCACCTTTGCGCGGTACGACTCGATTCCGCCGTAGCCCAAAGGTTGTGCATAACCAACCTTGCCCAACCAGATCATGATCTCAGTCTCGGCTTCTGTCTCGTTCTGGGCGTTATCGGGATTGCGATCGGCGAAGATATCGAAGGCGGTGTTCGCTGACACGTCAATGCTTGCCAAGCCGGACCAGTCGATGCTTGGCACTGGCCACGGCGTCGATCCCGGGCCCATGGCCCACTGGGCCGACAGTGTAAATGCCGAGATGTTGGACAGGGGTACCGGGAGCGTGGGATCCGTTAATTTGACGTGGGGGTACGACTTGACCGACTCCGGGCCCGACGACCACTTCCAGGTCGCATCGAAGGCCGGCGGTGAGTCCCGGACCTGATAAAACCCCGTCAGCATAAACGGTTTGGCGCGTTTGGGCAAGCGTGCGGCTGATCACTAACCGCAACGCAGCTAAAACCATCACCATCATCGTTCCAGGCGTTGGGGACATCTGCTTTCAAGTTAGCTCGGCCTTCTCTTACTGGTTAACGTTAGGGCCAGTTTGGTATCTTACATATCAAAGCGTTGTCACGGCTTGTATAGCTACCAACGTTGCAAAGCTTTTCATCGTATGCGGCGAGGGTCCATGTAGCCAACATGGCGATGATGTGGATGGGAGAACTAGTGTATCGCATCGTGAGTAAATCGCAGGGTGGTACGGCGAAGAGCATGCAAAGAGAAACCAGAGTTGACCTGCGTCATTCCGCCGCCGGTTTTCCATTCATAAAGCCTTGAGCGCCGGTTGCACTGCCTTCAATGCCACAATCCATTTGATTTGGTCGCCTCGGAAGCTGACGCGGCACGCAGCGCTCCTGTGAGCACCCATTCCTGGGGTACTCCGTGTGCGACTGAGAGTGGAGGTCGCCTAACAGGAAACCAGGACTGGTGATGTGCGTGAAATGCCATCCAAGCGCCACTTACGTGGGTGTTGGGACGGAGTCCGGCTCGAGACGATCCTCGACGACGGTTCCGGTGCAGATGCAAGTATCCGGGAGGTTCAGTTCACACCGCGTCAGGCTCCTGAGCCACAGTCCCAAGGTGTCAGGGCTGATCTGCCTGCAGGGGTGGCGGTATACACTTGTAGAACACGACCGGATCTGAAGACATCTGCAAGGTCCCAAGGAGCGCTGCAGAATGATTGACGCCTCTATCAGTGGCAACCCTTGCCAAGACCGATCCAAGCTTGCGCCTGTGGTGCAGATCGGCGTGGAAGCAGCCGGCTGAGGCTGAAAATCTCCTGGTACATCTCGAGCGACACGTCCAAGTCTCTGGAGATCTGCGTACCAGGAGATAGATGTCTCTGCAGTGCGGGCACCGTGGCGCAAGATTCGGGCCTTTACGGCGCCATTGCCCCCCCCCCCCCCCCCAACTCTCTAGTTCGCGTGTGAGTCTCCGAGTAGTTGCAATGACGCCACAGACTTGCGGCCTCATCAGTGAACAGCAACACCGGTAGTTGGGCAGCGAGATTGTGGATCGCTCGAAGAAACCGGTTTGGGCCGCAGAGATTGACAGAACCAGGCTGAAGAATGATGCCCTCGTGAACGAGCATGTTGAAATTGGCGCTAAACATGCGGTGACGACGTGTCTTGCTCCTTGGCCACCAACGAAGCGCTTTCGGCTGTCGGGGTTGCCGATGATCGTGATAGCTCGGGATGGAGGTTTCAGCCAACGACACGGGAACTGGGGAAAAGTTGGGAAGCCGGGCATGGCACACGATTGCAGGGGTGTTCGCTCCTTTCGAGGAGAGTGTTATATACCCTCGCTCTTCAGCCATGCCGAAGCTCATGCCGCTGGAACCTTTTCGTGCAGGAGGCCGCCGTATTGTCGGATCCACAGCAGGAGAAACACGTCCCCGAAAAGAATAGGTGTGCGTCCCGAAAGCCGGAACCCGACCGTCGAGGCTAGCGGCCATGGGTACTGTTCACCATCACCAGCATTCAGGATCGGCTGCCCTGTCGATGCGTGGCCATCTGGGCAGGTCGTTCCCAAGCTCCCATTCTATTGCGTCGACAGCCAGCCCGGGGGCGTCGACGCCGAACTCGTGGTCGGCAAATGAATGGCTTCGAGGCACACCCAACACGTCGCCGCCGAGTTCAGGGCTGGGGTCTCCGGAGCTCAGCGCAAAGCTGCTAGCAGAAGACGGCAGCGTGTCGCCAGTGGATGGGTCCCTGGACGGCCGTATCATACCTGCGGCAAAGAATATCTGCTTCGTTGGTGCGGGGTTCGTAGGTATGGTGAGCGTGTGGTCGTGTCAACTTATAGGATAAGCTGACAGCGCAACAGGTGGCCCAACTGCTGCCGTAATTGCCTACCATAATCCGCAAATCCTTGTCAACGTCGTCGACTTGAATGAACAGCGGGTAGCTGCATGGAACTCGGCACATCTTCCCATCCACGAGGAGGGTTTGTTAAAGGTGGTGCGCATTGCTCGGGATGGTACACTCGACACCATCGTCTCCCTGTCTCGTCTTGCCCGCCCGGTAGAGGTCAAAGCCCGCCAACCCAATCTTGTCTTCTCAACGAATGTAGTTGAGGCCATTGCAGAGGCTGACATCATCTTCATCTGCGTTAACACACCCACCAAGACGCAGGGGCTTGGAGCAGGCTCCATGGCCGATGTCAGCGCCGTTGAAAGCGCCAGCCGGACGGTTGCGAAGCACGCCAAAAATGGGGCCATTATCGTCGAGAAGAGCACGGTGCCATGCGGCACAGCTCGGATGATCCAAGACATCGTAAGTTCTTCCAAAGCTAGCGCAGGTGTCAAAGCGATGCTGATGTGATTTAGCTCCGCCATTACCGCCCTGACACCAACTTCGAAGTACTGTCGAATCCCGAATTCCTAGCCGAAGGAACCGCGATCGAAAATCTCATGCACCCAGACCGGATTCTTATTGGAAGCACCCGAAGCCTTGCCGGCCTGCAAGCCGCGGCTGTGTTGAAGGACGTGTACGCGGCATGGGTGCCGACTGCCCGCATCGTGACCGTCAACACCTTCAGCAGCGAGCTCGCCAAGCTGGTGGCAAACACGATGCTCGCGCAACGCATCAGCAGTATTAACGCCGTGAGCGCCATGTGCGAGGAGGTTGGCCTCGGTGCCGATGTGGACGACGTGAGCCTTGCCATCGGGAAGGACGGGAGGCTGGGGCCAAAGTTCTTGCAAGCCGGAGTCGGGTTCGGAGGGTCGTGCTTCGAGAAGGACATCCTCAACCTCGCGTACCTCGCTCGGGAGCTGCATCTTGACGTCGTCGCCGATTACTGGTTGGCTATTCTCAAGGTCAATGAAGACCAGCGTCATCGGTTCGCTCGCAACGTCGTCCGCGAGCTCAACGGCTCCCTCCGTGGAAAGAAGATTGGCGTACTTGGGTTTGCCTTCAAGGATGGGACCAACGACACTCGGAACAGCATCGCGGTGCACATCATCAAAGACCTGGCGTCGGAGATGCCGCAGGAGATCGCCGTTTTTGACCCGGGCTGCGCCCCGGATGACATCCTCGACGAAATCCAAAAGATTGGTCTCAGTCAAGTGCAGCTGGACAGAGTCAAGATCTGTTCAAGCTGGAGAGACTGTGTGCAGGACGCCAGTGCGCTCTGCATCCTGACGCAATGGAAACAGTTTCGAGGGCAGCAGTTGGGCAATACCGGGGGAGCTGCGGGCAAGGCGTCCAACCCGATGGGAAACGGGCTTGCCGCTCACGCGCAGGACGCCTGTTTCAGCGAAATGGGTATTGTGGGCCTGGAGAAGTTATCCTGGCAAGAGGCCACGACTCCTTCAGAAGATCCCCTTAAAAGACTCAAACCGCTGCCGCCGTGTCCAGCAGACTGCAGCCGCTGCGGGGCCAGCCCAAACATGGTGCAGATGCACGAGGCGGTGGACTGGGTTGAAGCCGCGGGGATGATGCAAGAACCACGTTGGGTTTTTGATGGACGTAACATCGTCAACCATATCGAGCTTCAGAGCCTGGGCTTCAGGGTAAAAGGAATTGGGAAAGGGTTCCATTCGTCTTAGGCGTTGCATAAATTTCAAGGTTGGGTATCGCGAGGGCGTTAGGGGTTTCAAGCACTGGTACATCCCGTTGTGTCGCGAGCTCCTAATCGCGAGAGACCTGTCAGTATCAAGATTATAATACAACAGCTATCCGTACAGCTCTCTCCGAAGAGCATCGCACCACCGATGCCAGGCCCTCCAGGGGCTTGACTCACCGCGAGGCGCGTGCCTGATAGTTCAGCGAGTCCATTCGATCGAAGTCAACCTCCCGTTGCAGTGCCACGGAACTGGACTGGCCGATAAAAGGTAACTTGATCTGTTGCGCATGAAGTTCGGCGTACCGGAATCATGCCATCTTGAAGTTCCAGCCCGAAAATTCATCTTGCGGAATGTCCGGTTTGTTGAACAGCAGCAAAAGGCAAACTGTGATCATGAGCATGGGTTTTAGGGAGCCGCGTTGGGTGCCCCACATAGCTCAAGTTACGCACATTGATTGGCCCTGGCTTACTCCAGTTCCACTTTTTAGCCCTCAATACCCTTTCCTAAACCGAGACGGCAGATCAACAATCCCTTTCCGTCGCACACAAACCGCGCGGCTTTGAGACGCAGGCCGACGGCACGCTGCGCCCTCCTTCCTGATGACCAGATGCAACAACCAGTAGCAACAGCAGTCATTTTTACGGCACTGATGTCTCTCATTCAGAACCATTAACGTATTTGATGAGGCTGCGTAAAAGCCGACAGGCTCATTTTGTTCCGATGCGGACAATGACTTCCATGGGTCAACCACCCCACTTTTGTCTGGGTTGCATTTCCCCGGCGGAGAACCTGGCTCTCACATCGAATATGTGTCTTCGACATCAAAGTTTCTGTCGGGTCGGGATCCATCCGCTGCCGGTGTACCAATTCGCGAACATGACCGCTTCGCATGGGAGCCGGAAACATCACCAAGCGCCCACGATTCCTGAAGTGTACACAGCGGTTCTGCGAAGATACGTCCGCGCACCATTCATCGATACGCGCCGTCTTGTCTGCAACTAGGACGCCAGCTTTGTTTTGGCACTTTTGCATTGTGGGACGGCATCAGGCAGACACACATCAGAGAGATTCAGGCCCGGTGCTCATGGCATATTGATTGAGCACACCATGTGGATTCTTGCTCAAGAGGAGTGAGAAGAGGAGTGGCAATCTTCGTATTGCCGTGGTTTGCGTAACTCGACGACTTTCCTTACCGAGGCGAGCGCTCATGGTGATGCGCCTTCATCGAATTTAGGTACGTGGCACTTACACCAGGGCCAGCTTAGTGATGAAATCTGCATTGAGAAATTCTACACGTGAAGGTTCGCGCGAGGCAGATGTGGTGGCAAGGGCGATCATAGGGAGCGATATCCGCCGAAGTGGTCATTTGAGGCTCAGCGGCTCCGACGTCTCGGTGTCCGGGAACAACACCGGCGGCAGTGTTACAGTTTCGTTCATCACTTGGACAATTCCTCGATGGCTCCTCGCTGGTTTTCGCCCGTCAACATGGGGGTGCCAGATTGTCCCTCCACCGAGGCTACCACTGAGATGCACACGGATCGAAGCTCAGAGTGGGAGAGGCCATCTGGTGGCTGTGCCACCCGATTCGTGTTTGTGACAATCAAAACAACGGTTCTCAGCCAGATGACGTCGTGCGATCCCCTTCTAAAACTCAGCCTCGATGCGGATCCAGAGACTTCTGCTGCTTGATGACTTGCATTGCCGCTCTTGCATGCAGTACGTTGAAATGCCGGTTCCCACTTGGGCCTCGAGGCCCAGTCCGAATTTGACGCTGGCCTGGAACGGGAGGGCGGGTGAGGCCGGAGTTAGGGCGCCAGAGTGTTCCGTGCCTCAGCTACCTCTCCAAGTACATACCTAAGGCATTGTACGTTACAAGGTGAAGCTGCAGGCTTGGCAAGCCGCCACATCAACCCAAAGGAACACAACCAACAGACAAACCCGGTGGCACAGCAAACATAACTTGATGAGCGTATGGCAAATCGTTCGGTGAAGAGGGCGGAAAGCAATTTGAAGTCAGTCTGGCGACACGGTAACTTTTTCAGGTTGGACAAGCGCACAGGCTGGCCGCCCTGCTGGTTGCATGTGTTTTGCTAGTCGCTTCGACAGCGATAACGGTGCAGCGTGGACTTCGACCACGACGGGCCCACCAGCACCTCAGCCGGTTTCTATTTTTTGCAGACAAAGTTTCGTGTTTTCGGCTCCAGTCCGCTGGGTGCGCCGCAGACGCCTCACAGCCAGTGGGTTACCTCACCCGGAGTCCCGTTTCATGTACCTCCCAACATCTGGCGGCCAGCAACACTGATGAGAGGAGCGGGGATGGTGGGGTGGGCAAGGGAGTGCGGGAGCATCACAGGACCCCTTCCTTGCCTTGTCGGCCCTCTACACACAAGAACAACCTATCAGGGTCACCCGCCCAACTCAGCCTTGGAGAGATGACGCTTCATTGGCATCCGCCATCCACACTCACATCGTGCAAGCTGCATGTGTTCCGTGGGCTCACCCCGGGGTTCCAGAGAGGCGGCGAAGGCAAGCATGCCTTCCTGCTGCGTCATGGTCTGCCACACGCCGGAAGGGGGTGTCCACGCAGATCGCGAGCGGACGCCGTGTTGCAGAGATGGCGAGCGGGAGCTAGCCTGAGGGCTGGGAGTCTCACCCATTATCGCAGGTTCACTCTCACCTCTATTAAACAGAACCGGCCGCCTCATCCTTGGGTCGTCGGGCCCAGCTGTTAACCGCCCTAGCCAGCCCACTCCAGCCGGACCCCGCAACAGATACAACTGTCACCGCCCAGCCCGCCCTCAAACGCGGTCTCTTACAAACACCGCCAGGTCTGTAGTCAACATCGTGCGGTATATCTGTTCTCCAACGATCCTCATCCTTGCTAGCTTCCACTCAGCCGGTCTCCTTCGATGTCCTCATGTCGTTGATTCATATCAGACGACATTCCCACGACTGCACCGTCTCGGATACGGCTGACTGACAGGAGTTCACCCGTACGCTGTCCGCTGGCCACATCGACAAACACACCACTTAAGACAGGAGCATTGTTCGGGGCAGACTTATCATCTGCCTCATCCTGCTGCCAAAGGTGCAGGGCACTGCTCTGGCGCCAGGCTCTCCTCAGAACCCTCACTCTGACGACTGCTGTTCTTTGTTCGAGTCCACGCCGGCAAGATGTGCCTGACCAAGGTTTACTACAACACCTACGCGGACGGGGCGCAGGACATCACCGAGAAGAACTACCCCTGCAGGGATGGCAGAAGCTGCTCCCGTCCCGACGTGCGCAAGTATGAACGCAAGTTTCCCTTTACCAAGCTGGGCGATGTCCAGCCGGAGTCTCACAGGAGCCTCTCGGAGCGCCAGCCGACCCCATATTTCTCCGGCCACACACCTCGAGGCTTCAAGTCGCCCTCACCTTCAGGCAAGCGCGACTCCGGCGTCTACATGAGCGGTGCCATCCCCAGCAATCACCACGACTACCACGATCCTTACGGCGACTACGACGCCTACGACGGCCACCACTCGTCCTCCCGGCACGACCGCCACGAACGCGGCCGCGAGCCCCGCCTCAAGCGGTTCTCCACCACGCCTCACATCGTCTACCTGGACCGCGACCGCGACATCAAGTCCTCCCGCTCCCGCTCTCACTCCAACAGCCGCGACTACTCGCGCGACATCCCGCTCGGTCTGGTTCCGCTCGCAGACGAATACGGCCGCCGCCAGTCGTCCCGCTCCCGCTCCCTCGAGAGTAGTTACGACCACAATAGCGGCATGTACTACCGCCGGCGCACCGACGATCCCCAGGGATACGCCGTCATCGACGACCAGGACGAGCGCCGCCGCCAGCGCCGCGAGCAGCAGCGACGCATGTCCACATCCAGCTACCACCTGGACCCGTCCTCCTCGTCTAACCCACGCGTGTACTACGATGCCTACGCGGCGGCATACATCCCGCGCCGCGCGTCCACGGTCGTGCACCACAGCGACGGGTCCATCTCGACCGGATCTAGCTCTGGGGCCAAGACAAAGCATCTCCGCTGGGAGGACCAGGTGCGCGCCAAGCGGGAGAGGCAGAACGCCGAGATTGCGAGCCGGCCCGGTTCATCTTCGTATTCTGGCGAGGTGAAGGGTATTCTGAAGCACTCTGCAGCGGGAGACGGGAGGGGGAAGGGGAAGGGGAAGGTGGTGGATGATGATATTGCTGATTTGCGGAGGGCGGTCGAGAGGATGGAGATTCCCCGGGGACGGGACAGGGACCCTAAAAGAGGGGATGAGTGGTTGCGGGGAGGGGGGTATGGGCAGGATTATGCGGAAGGGAGGCGGAAGAGGAATAAGGTGTATGCAGATGATCTGTATCGGTATTGAGCGGGGTTCCATCGAGGGCGATGGCGTCTGGCGCATACAGTTTATTGCGGTGGGATCGGAAAGACGGTGGCACATGAGGTGGATCTGAGGCTCTACAAGTGATGGGTGCACCTGGACTCAAAAAGTTCAATCGTGGTGTCTATGGCGCTGGGGTAGTAGGTCGGAGACTTTTTGGTGTTTTTGCAACGGGGCCTGAATCGAGACGCCAGGACGCTTGTGCTGCACTCGCTTCTCGGGTGACGTATCGCATCACTTTCCTTTGTTATGTTGCGTTACGACTTACATGAACTTAAAAGCACCTGATGCTTCTCACCAGCTCTCCTAGCAACACTTGCGATGTATGTCTGGACCTGAGACAAGGCGGCTTTCTCCACCGCCAAGGTTGCTCTCTCCCCAACACTCACACTCACTTGACTTACCTCCATACATCCCAACCCACTCTGCATGACACCTAACTAAAGCCAAGGACGGTAAACCCTCCGATTATTTACCGTATCAATATCGTGGGCAAACCGTACAGCATTGAAACAACCCATACACCAGCCATGACGTTGCAGACAGGCCCTATTCCCCCCGACCCAAACTGACCTGCGCGGTGACGGTTGCAGGTCGTGCCCACCCGACGAGACTCGTGTATGTGTTGGGGGTGAGGTGGCCCAAGGGCCCGGCCAACAAGACGACCCTGACACATTGTCGAAGACGAGAAACGGCCCACATTTCCTCCCGGTACTGCTACGCTGCTGTTTTGTGTTGGGGGTGTGGGGAGAGCATTCTAGACTGCGGCGTTGTTATGTCATGTCTGCGCGACCCGGGACGGCAAAGGACAGGCAGGAGGGGCGGGGTCTGGTTGGGAGAATCGAAGATCTATCGATGATCTGATCAGTGTTGGGTGGCATTGAGAAGTAGTAGGACGTGAGAAGAGCGCTGCGGACGGCTGTGGGCAAGCATCTCCTAAGAGCCGCTTTGCAGCGGGTAGATGACTGACAATAGTCGTTTGGGCATGATTGTTTAGACCGCGGAGGCAACGAGGTGATACCGGCCACAATGTGTCAACGCACTTGAATGATGGTGATATGGAGCGCGTTGCCAGGGTTTCAGTTTGACCGCCAGCACCCTTCCAGGCCAGTATCCAAAATCCAATCGACATTAGGTGAAATATATCCCAATACCCCCTCCAACACACAGGCGGGCACTGACAATCCAGATTGCCATGCCGCTGGTTGTCGTCTGTCGTTGCTCCATAGAACCCCGCCCCCGGATCACCCTAGGCCCTGGGAACACCACCGCCGGAACTGCTCATGATACAAAGCGGGAAAAGTAAGTACATCAGAAAAAAGGATAGGTAGAATACTCGTAGAGATGCGACGATAACGCTGGCAACCAACTTCAATGCGAGATAGCTACACCAACCACGCAACGCTCGAGCTACAACTACCAAAGTGCGCCAAATGCAGGGGGTATCAAGAGCAAATGATTTAGCTGCGTTGCGGCGGAAAAGACCCAGCGTTTGACACGTAAGGGTTGCTCTCTTGTTGGAGTTTGGGAAAACGAGGAGTTGAAGTGGATATGTTCCGATGCGGGGCGCCTGGGAAACGGGTATCAGCCCAGAGGGTTTGTGCTTGTGTTCTGATTGTTGGCCGGCGTGATTGGTTGTGCGCCGTCTCTCGATGTTGGAACACCGCACACAGGTAAGAAAAAAAAAGTCCGCGGGGCGAGCCAGACTTTGCTTGCCTGCAGCGGGCGCGAGAACACATATCTCGGATGATCCTCGGACAGGCCTCTGGTTACTGTTTCGGACGGACGTTGGCAATAGATCCCTAATGTCCCCGGGGGACGATCATGGGTCATCACAGCGACCAATGTCGTGCAGCAAGTCTGCCGCGAGGACGTCAATGCCGGCAGAATGCTTGTCTTCGTAGCCGAAGCCCAGGAACACAACGTCGTCGAGGAAGCCGTGGTAATTGACACCGTGGTCCTTCCAGTTTGCCGACGTCACGTACATCATGTCGGTGCGCCGGCCTTCGTGCCGTTGCCGGCCATGGATCCAGAGCGGCTTCTTGGAGATGGCATACAGCTCGTACGGCGCGCGCTGCTGGAAGAGCACGACGTAGGGCTCGTATTCGCTGTGCCAGTTGTAGTACGTCTTGTGCTGGGCAATGGTCATGATGTATGTGTTGCCGTCGTGCGGCTCGCAGCTCTTGTCGGCGCGGTTGCACATCGTGACTTTCATCGAGTTGGTAGCTTGGTGGATCGACTCGAGGTCGCCCGGCAGTTCAGGCATGTAGCGCTTCAGGCATTTCTCGTCGTGCTCCTTCACCCTGGGCGCAAGGTCGGGCCCGACAGTCCCGTTACGTTCGAGCTTCCCGAACCCTCGTTTGGGGTACAAGTCATAGTGCACGAGCATGTCTCCCTTATTGTCCCAAAACGCGAAGTAGTTTTTCTCGAGCTGCGCGTAAGGAGGGGGTCGCTCGATCTCGGTTCCCACGGCGAAGTCGTCGGGCGTCATCAACTCGTACTCCCAGTTGACCAGCTTGCGGAAATCTTGGATGAATTGGCCGAAGCAAGTGAAGGCGCTGTTGGAGCCGTAGATGATGAATGGGCTTTGGGGACCCATGAAGACACGGGCATCGTGCGGGCCGACATTGAAGTTGATGTAGGCAAAGTCACCCGTGCACTTCCCTCCCGGAGTCGGCTCAATGGGCAAATGCTGAACGTAGTCAATGCACATCAGCACGCCGTTGATGAATTGGGCCACGCATCCAGCCTCGTGGACGGTCTTGTCGGTGTGGTCGTCGTTTGGGTCAATGAACACCTGGCCCACGATATACCAGGTGTTGTTGAACTTTTGGTGCGGGATGATGTTTGGGTTGAAGACCTCTATGCCGAACCGGATGTCGAAGTACTTGCCGTCGGGTGTGGACAACGAGTAGATTTCGTAGTGTTTCCCGTCGGCGGTCAGGGTCGGCGTGCGGCGAGTCGACGACGTTTCCGTCTTCCCGCTCTGGCCAAGCAACGAGCCGACATGTGAGGCAATGTCACCCGAATGCGAATGCCAAAGACTTGCGCTGAGCAGCAGCAGGACCAACAGCGGCCCAACCACCAGCGCCAGGCGCTTCAAGTCCCTCACAATCATGATCGCGGTGCGGTCGAGTGTCGGGGATTGGGGGTCGGAAGTCGCGGTTGCGGGTTGCTTCGCGTGGTTGAAAAATACTAACGAGGGACAGAAGCAGGCGCGCGCAGCTCGACTGGGATGACGGTCACGCGTCGCATGTCGGTGTTGGAAGTTGTCGAGGACTCGAAAGCCGAGCGAGGAGAAGACAGGGAGCCGGCGTTGTGCGAGCGAACCTGGCAATGAGATAAGGGGAAAATGGCCACCCCCTTGTTAAGGTTTCCACGCTAAACGAGGAGAAAAATCAGCGTATCCCAATGCCAAGACAAGCCGACTGCATGAATTACGAGGGGCAGTTGAAGAATGGGATTGGTGGACTGCACACCTGAAAACCTGGAAGCTGACGGCTGTCACTGCAGTGATGAATACTTCCCAGCTCGCCTGGCTGCCAGCAGCCGTTCCTGTTCAAACGCCCAGAAATCGGTCATGTTTCTTGTGGGCGCAATAATTCCTCTGAATGCTGGAGATGGCGAAATGGCCAGAAGTCTAGGCAGCCAGCAACGAACGAGCGCAGTGTCGCAGCCACCGGTTCCCGATCTCCAAGTCACCCCGCTAAACTAGATCTGGGCCGGCGTTCAGGGGCTGTGGGGCTTACGCTTACCAGGCGGACATCCAGGACTTCGCACAGACCCATCGCGTCGCGTGCAGTCACTCGAGCCGAAGATGTCGCACACGGACGTGTTTGAAGACAAGGTCATATGAGAACGGGGATGAAAACATTTGAACCTATTGTACAGTATCGCCGCGCCCTATCCAGTGTAGCCAGACCTTTTCCGCAAGTGCCCTCAGACATACTGAAATCGCGAGTCCTCTCCCCATCTCCAACAAGCCTCTCCGTCTGCCCATTAAAAGTCTAAGAAAATGCCTGAAGGAGTGCCCAAGATTACAACACATGTCTAAAGAAAAAGGGAAAGATTCGCCCGTAAAGAAAGTATAGAAAATCATGCAGGCAGCCTCATCGGCCGTGCCGTGACCGACTTGTAGAGCCACTGCGGGAACCGAACACTGGGCTCGTCGAACGCCCTCGTGACGACCTCCGCGAGGTAAAAGGTGACGGGCAGAAGGATCAGGTGCGGCACCAGGAACGCCGGCTCCAGTCCCAGCGGCCCCGATTTCGGCAGCGGGAAGATGTTCCACCACTGCGGGATGTAGGTGAGGCGCGCTTCTTTGGGCCAGCCCACGGCCGCATACAGCCTGTCGCCGAGCGTCCACAGCACCGGGCCGTGGACGAGGTAGAGCGAGAAGGACACGCGGCCGAGGTACTGGCAGAAGCGCGACTCGAAGAAGCGCTTCAGCCAGGGGATGTGCGGGATCGACGCCACGAGGAACACGGACGCCCAGAAGAGGAAGAACCACTTCGCGTCGAAGACGGCCTGCGGCTTCAGGTATGAGAGCAGATACCACCCCGGGTTCTTCCTCAGCTCCTGGACTTCGGCCTTGTGCGCCGGAGCACCGCCAAAGTACATGGCGCAGGCCAGCATGGCGTAGAAAATGGCCTGCTTATACGGCCGGAACCGAGAAAAAAACTCCGGCAGCTCGTCCTTGGCTGCCAGTTGCTCCAGGTCGTAGAGCAGCATGCCGGCGCTGAAGCAGGCGCAGTACCAGCCGTCGACGATGTAGAGGAAGTAGAAGACGAGGGCAGCCTCACACCATAGCCGGGCGTTCTTGGGGCAGCGCGAAAAGGCGAGAAGGCTGGTATAGATGACGATGGAGCCCTTGAACTCGACGGGAATTGACCAGAGATGGAAGTTGTAGCTCAGCCAGCCGACTTTGCCGTTGTGGAAGATGAAGCTAAAGTTCTTGACCTCGCAGTACCAGTCCCACACTGCGATCAAGTAGTTGTCCTTTGCCGGACGGCTGTCGATCCAGATGCCAAAGGCGTGAACGATGGTCATGTAAATGAAGGTGGTGCAGATGAGTGGGATGTAGAGCCTAAGCCAACGACGGAAGAGGGCCGATCCCACGTTGTCCGCCAGCTTGGCCTGCTCGCCGGCGTGGATGAGGCTCAGAGGCTTGGCCGACAGAACGTAGCCGGAAATCACAAAGAAGGTGGCGACGGCAAAATGACCGCCATGGAAGAAGATTCGCACGACGGGGAGGGCGGCGAAGTAGTGAAGGCCATCGTATCCGAAACTCGACTCCAGCGACATGCCGTGGACGGGCACGTGAGCCCAAAGCTCGTGATGGTGCCAGTAGACCAGGAATGCTGCAAAGCCCCTGAGGCCGTCGAGATATGCCGTCGGTCTGAGTTTCTCTGGCTGGGTGCTGTCGGTCTTTGATGGCCATGGTGAGAGAAGGCGAGTGAGACTGAAGCCCTCGAAGGATGTCCTCAGCCAGGCCGCCATGTCGGAAAGAAGGGACGGTGAGCGCAGCAGCTCATCGTCGCGCTTAGGCTCGATGGACCCTTCCACATCACTCGGCATTGTGAATCTCGACGTGGCCGACTCAGAAAATGGAACGATCGTGAAGAGTGCTGGGCATGGCTTGATCACCAGGATTTGTTGCCCAGCGCAGTCAGTCGGTTGACAAGCTGTGTGTAGTCTCGAGCTGTCGTTTCAGCCTGGCGGCATTGAAATCCGTGCCGAGCCTGTCAGGAAAAGGGGCTTTTGCCGCCTCGGCCCCACCATAAATTGCAGTGGTCTGTGCCACTGCTGCGCCGCACGGCTCAATCAAGATCTGGCTGACATGTGGATCTGATTTGGCCAAGGTTGGTCCACCCGGCTTCTCCCAGGCTGACATGGATCGCAGAGTTGAACATCAATTTTGTTGGTTCTGGCATCGATGAAGAACGCAGCGGAATGAGTTCCATGAAACCGGTCCTCTTGGCTTTGCCCATTGGCGCGATTTGACCACTGTTGATGAACTTCGTTCTAGGCCACATTTCAGAGCGGACGGGAAAGCGGGCAGGATGAGGGTACGGATCCGTATTGAAGCGGCCTCCAGCTTTGAAGAGCTACCAGCTGGACCGCAGGTAATAATCACAATCCAATCCTATAGTTAGTAACTCCGTAGTTTGTTCATTAGCGTGGCACATGGCGGGGCACCAGACATGAATGGGATAAAAGAAAGGAACGTAATAAGAGATAAGAAAGAGAAAAGGGAACATAAATTAAATACAAAATATGAGAGGAGAAGGAAGAGAGAAATAAAAATACAGATAAAGTTGAAGAGAAGAAGAAGATGAAAATAAAGAGGAAGTGGAAAGAAAGAAATAAAGAGAGAAAGAAAGAAACAAAGAAAAGAGAAAGAAAGGAAGAAAGAAAGAAAGAAAGAAAGAAAAGAGAAAGAAAGGAAGAAAGAAAGAAAGAGAAAATATAAGACCAAAGTTGAAAAAAGATAACGTTAGTATAATAAGGGAACGGCTAGATCGCACACGGCCACGGCTATATAGTACGGCGCTATCCCTGATTCGGCAGGGCTCCCGCGGTGCCCGTGCAGCAGTACAATCGTGAATTCCCTGACAGCTGCCAAGCGGGCCACAGGCCGGCGTCTGCTCAAAGCACACTACAGCAGCCGGCTGCTGCCCCAACTTCCCGCTTCAACTTCCATCCACAACCTGTTACCGCCAGGATGCTGCTAACCCGCAGTAGCTGACAATCGCAAGCAGCTGCATGGAGCACACTGCTAAGCCGTAAATGTGTAGTTCATAGTCAGTACCTTCAAGAATATCACAAAAGCAATGGGAACGAGCTCATGTTATTTGCGTTGACTTCAATTGAACGGATTGATCAAGCCGACGCAGCTTCTGTGCCTCCACTTGGCAGCAGTCAGGAAGTTCACGATTGTACTACTGCACGGGCACCGCGGGAACCCTGCCAAATCAGGGATAGCGCCGTGCTATATAGCCGTGGCCGTGTGCGATCTAGCCATTCCCTATAATAACTGTCGTGGAATTTCTATGCTAATAATAAACTAACGTTAGGGTAAATATTTTATATCAAGGTACGTTAACTAACGTTAACTATTATTATTGTTATTATCACCGTTAGTTAACGTTATTATTATTAACGTACATTATCAGCGAGAGGTGTCACGGCGATTGCGCCGTGCCTGCTAGGACCCACGGGTGGAACCCGGCATGTGGAAAGCACGGGCCCCTGTGGGTTAAATATTCTGCACCTCGCTGCCGCGAGATCTGTTCGTAGCTCCTCGAGCTACGTCTTGACAATCAAGCCTGCCCGTACCTGACGGAATAGAGCTTAGACTGTAGTTTAGCCCGAATACAATTGTCATTGGATTGTCCGCCTGTCCCGCCGTGACAGATTGTCCGCCTGTCCCGCCGTGACAAATGGATCAATTCCGTACGCGACGCGTCTCTCTTGCACCCAACACCAATTTCCTCTACCACTTCAACATATCTGCCATTCCAGTCGAGGCTAGATTAATCCTTGCCCTTGAGCCTCTTAAAAAAGATCCTAAGCTAAGCCTCCGATCTGCAGCAAAGATCTATTCTGTACCTTATGCTACCCTTCGCCGTCGACGTACTGGCCGGCGTGTACGACGCGACACTATGCCCAATTCGCGAAAGCTCACTCAATTAGAAGAGGAGGCTATTGTTCAATATGTTATTGAGCTATCTACGCGAGCTTTTCCACCAAGATTGAGTGGTGTGGAGGAAATGGCCAACCAACTACTACGTTCACGCGATGCGCCGCCTGTCGGTGAACTCTGGGCGCATCGATTTGTCAAACGCCAGCCAAAGCTCCGTACGCGTTATACGCGTAGATACGACTACCAGAGGGCCAAGTGCGAGGATCCAAAGGTCATTGGCGAGTGGTTTACGCTCGTATGGAATACTATGGCCAAATATGGTATCATGATCGACGATGTCTACAACTTCGACGAGATCGGATTTATGCATAGGCATCATTTTCGCGGGTATGGTAGTTACGACCTCCGACGGCCTTAGCAAGGCGAAACTGGCCCAGCCTGGCAACCGCAAGTGGGCGACATAATCCAGGGCGTCAATGCCCTTGGCTGGGCTATCCCTCCGTTCATCATCTTAGCCGCGCAGCATCATCTCGCCAACTGGTACACCGAATGCAACCTCCCAGCCGACTGGCGCATCGCAACCACCGACAATGGCTGGACTACTAATGCGGTAGGCCTGGACTGGATCAAGCACTTCGACTACCACACGGCGCCCCGGACAAAGGGCAAATACCGGTTATTGATCCTCGACGGCCACGAAAGCCACTACTCGACCGAATTTGAGCTCTACTGCTAATAGAGCAACATCATTACGCTCTGTATGCCCGCCGTACTCTTCTCACCTCCTTCAGCCACTCGATGTTGGCTGCTTTGGACTGCTGAAGCAGGCGTACGGTCGCCAAATCGAGGAGTTGATGCGTATGCATATCAACCACGTCAGCAAGCTTGAGTTCCTCTGTGCCTTCCGCGAGGCCTTTTTTGCCTCTATGACGGGGAGGAATATACAGGGCGGCTTTGCAGGTGCTGGCCTTGTGCCGTACAATCCAGAGAGGGTGCTTTCTAAGCTGGATGTGAAGCTTCGTACGCCAACGCCCCCAAACTCGCGTACAGGCGCTCTACAACCTTGGGTGTTCCAGATGTTACGGGTCACGCGTTGGCGTTGAGATGATGCACAAGGCGGGGCAATGATTGACTAGATTGCTCCGAATGGAGAGCGAAAAGAAAAGAGAGAACTAGATGACAGGAAGAGAGGGCAGCTCTTATATGCTCCGGAACACACAGACACTGCCTGCCTCAGGATGACGTTATCATGATACCACGGCCGAGGGTTGCCGAGGCCATCATGGGCTCAGCCCATCACACCAGACGCCGCACAACCCCCGCGAGGCCGAGTCGCAGTCAACGCTCATCAAGACTCGCATTGCCAACCATCAAATTAGCTCCCCAACTTCGATGTTGGCTGCTGTGGACCAGCTTACCAAGGGAACAATGGCTGTGATGCACAGGTGGCTCTCCTTCGGTCAGAGGTCTCTACGCTCCGTAAAGCCAACGAGGCACTAAGTAAGAACCGTAGAGCTAAGAAAACACGCGTGCAGCTTGGAGGGTCGCTTACTGTGCAAGATGCACAGGATTTGCTGAGCCGGAAGGCTGTAGATGGGGAGGGAGTACTAGAAACGCAGCCGGATGGTAGTGGTGCAGGGGCGGGCCATACGAATGTTCGGTGCTGTAGTGTATGCGGCAAGCCGGGCCATAATGCACGTACTTGCCAGGAGGTCGCAGAATCGTCTGATTCAGTTGTTTCCGATGTAATTATAGTTAGTTCCTAGTATTGATGTGTACATTCGAGGATAGTTATTGCAAGGTAGTAAAAAGTTGATCCACTCGCTGATATGATCCACTCGCTGATATGATCCACTCGCTGATATGATCCACTCGCTGATATGATCCACTCGCTGATATGATCCACTCGCTGATAATGTACGCTATTAGTTATTATTATTATTATTCCTATACCGCTATGCCCTAGGCCTCGCCAGACCCTTTATTACAGTCAGGGTTCGAAAGTCTGTCACACTCCACATCAATTAAACGCGCGTCAACAACACGACACGCACGATCTCTAACCAACCAGTTCCACAAGTCTGCAAGAGAAGACGGGGAAGAAGACAATCAGGCAACCGAATGAAGACCTAAGACATCGCGACATCTCTCCTGCGGCTGCATAGCCGGTGCCCTATGCGGTATCTGCGCACGACGCTGACGTCGGCTCATAGGCCAAGACACGAATATACTTGGCCCCGGAACGCTGAAACTGGAACAGATCAGGTTACGGTAGGTGAGGAACCCGACTTTCTGGAAAAAGTGTCGTACATAATCCCATGAAAATCATCCTGCAGTCTGCAGATGAAGCAGTGCAATCTAAAGCGCAGCGGTAAAGGCGGAAATGGGCGCCATTGCTGTCGAATGGCCCGGATTATGTTTGTTAAGCGAAGCTGCAAGTTTAAAACGCTTTGCCACAATGACCCTAACCCTGTTCATTACCAGCGGATAATCTGCGGTCACGTGCAGGGTTAGCTACGGGACATTCAACATGCTGGCTTTGATAGTCTGCTGACTTCCCTCTCAGTTCAAGGCGGCAAGCAGCAAACGCACCTCTTTGTGCAATTTTCATCAAAACTCCAGGCTTAAAGTTATTGCATCCCATCGAGCTCTTCTCTCCCCGGCCATTTTTTCACAATACTCTGCTGGCTGAGAGAAGCGATTGTTGAACGTGTCGTCCTTGGTTCGACTTGGATTGGCCTGCCATTCTCGGAAACCCCAGGTCGGGTTCAGAAGCCCAACCCTGGTTCCAATTCTCATCTCAACCTGTCGACCGCTCCAACATCGTTTCGATTTCATCTCTTTCCTTCTTAACCACTTAAACCGCCATCATGAGTCGATACGATGCAGCTGAGGGCCCGGATCCCGCCCAGCACTACGTCGCCCCTCTTCAGACATGGGAGGCCTTTGTTCGCGACAGAGGTCGGATCGAGAACGACCTTTACATTGCCTATGTCAACTTGCTTACCCGCTACCGAGAGAAAGTCGATGAGTGCGAGCGCGAAAAAAGGTGCGGGACTCTTTCCGTGCCCCGTTGCATGCACGGCAGCTGACACTGCTGGCAGGAATGCCATGGTTTGGGAAAAGGAACAGCGTATGTCAGAGAGGGAGTTGAATAGTCTCAAGACTGTTGCGGTTAGTCGATCCATAGCCCGATTTCAACCCAGCTCGGACCATCTCCCGACCCGCCGGTCTATTCTCGCCTGCATTCACTAACATATTCCAGGAATCTTCACCGTTCGCCTTTGTCGTTATCGATGGCGATGGAGCCGTCTTTCGTGAGGACTTGATTGCCAGAGGCGAGGACGGAGGCATTGAGGCTGCCCATGTAAGCGACAACCTGGAACCCTTAATGCCCTGGATGTATCGGTGATAGCAGGACCCTTTGAATATCCGTCCAAATATCCTGAAGGATATCGCCGTTGACCTTTTGAAAGGAACTCCACCAACAGCTTAAGATCTACTTCCACGACCAACCGCAATTCTCAAATATCGACACCATATTTGTCCATGTCGTCCTTAGCCTCGAGGGTCTGTCACGGGCTCTCCATAACTCGGGCGCTATCATTCCACCCGACTACGGCGCTTTGACAAAGTTCGCGCGGGGCTTCGCTCGCGCCCAGCCCCTTTTCACCTTCACTGACGTCGGCTACGGCAAGGAGCAGGCTGATCATAAGGTCCGCAAGCTGTTTGAGGTCATGGAGAAGAACATCCAATGCAGATGCCTCATCCTCGCCGGCTGCCACGATAATGGCTACGCGACCTTCCTAGAATCCTTCCGCGGCAACCAAAAGATCTGCCTTTTGGAAACTACCCCACCCGCCGCCGACTTCAGGAAATTCACTTTCAAGCGCGTGGCCTTCCCTTCGGTTTTCCGCTCAGAACCGCTGCTGTCTCGGCCGACCTTTCCCCCGGGTTTCACGCCTGCTACGATGGCGCCGCTCACATCGGGTCCCATGACCTCCCCTCCTATCCTCAGTCTTGGAAATGGGATTGGCATTAACCCCTTGCCCAGTCCAGCAGCGACTGCGTCAGTTGCGTCGCCCAAACCAACGCCTTCGGCCCCCGTCCCTCCGGCCTCGGTTCCCGCAACCAAGCCCGAGCCCCAGGCGAGCACGGCGAGCAGCTATGCCACCGTGGGCCGAAGCAGCGCTCCCCTTACAATCAACATTGCCACGCAGAAGAAGCCAACAGTCACTCGGCTTTTCATCCAGCTCAACAAACACGATGAGCGGGTTGACATCCCTTTGCCGAAGCCAGACCCTAATGCGGTAAAATCACTCGACGAGCGGAGGCAGATGAGCGGCATGAACCTCTGCAACAGGTACCACTTGGCTAACAGCTGCAAAAACACCAACTGCAGCTTTTACCACGGGGAACGCCTGAACCCGGCCGAGATACTTGCCCTGCGCCACAAGACAAGGAACCTGGTGTGCGGTTCTGGCCACTACTGCCGCGAGATCGCATGCAATCTCGGCCATCACTGCTCGAACCCGGGTTCGTGCTACTTTGGCGACGACTGCCGCTTCTCCGAGATGCACGGCATGGACATTGTGGGTTTGATTTTTACTGATTGAAAGGTGCAAAGCTGACTTGAATGCAGACTCCGACTATTAAGATCTACGAGGATGGCACCCGCGAGGTCCTTTAGGACATGGACGACGGTGCCCGTATTGCATCCATTCAACATGACGATAGAGGAGGTGTTTGCTGGTGGTCTTTTCTTGGTAGTGCAACACATTGGCAACATAAAGCAACGTGCTCCTGAAATGCCCTGGACCATGATTCTTGCAGTTAATGTTACAATAACAAGTTTAGTTGGCGAGGGTTCCTTGGGAGTCGAGCTGGGTCCGTTGGGATGGACAAAACAGAGAATAATCACATGCTATCTAGCTTAGTGTCTGGACATTTTTGCGATGGTAATTAGGAGGGCTGAGCTCTACCATACTTTCGTTTATATTCTTGCGTCTATCACCCCGATCAGATTGCTACCAATAAACAGACTTCTAGCTTTGAACCCTTTGATAACATGAAGTGAAGAGATATTGATGTCTTGTATGTGACCCAATAGCAGCTTTCGTGAGACGCAAGCTGCCGGTGTTTCACCCTGCAATCAGCTTTGCGGCATGTCTCTCGAGCCAACAAGGGGTAGCAGATGGGGATGAACACCATCCATTGTAACCCAAATTCCATGGGGGAGCGCAGAGCAGTTGGTAACTGACCAGACAGTCTATGGCATCTATTTATCTACTAAGAATTGACCAAGCCATCAGCCCCCTGCCCATCCTCGCATCATTTTCTATCAGTCTCAAGCTTTTCGCATGCCCTCATCATCTCCACCGAAACAACCTCCTACTAGGACCTACGAACCAGTTCCTGCGCTGATCCAGACCCTCGCCAGCCCTGAGAATCTGCTCCCTCTTCTCGCAGTGCAAAAACAACAGCACATGCACTAAAATCCACGTCTGCTCTTGCAAGCTCCCCACCTCGCTCGGATCCCTCAGCCACGACATCCTCTCTCGCCATCCCCGCTTTGTCTCTTGGATCCTGTCCATTCCACCGGTGCCAGTGCCAATACCAGTGGTATTACCAGCGTCTCTGCGACCAGTGCCAATGTCAACGCCAATGTCACACCCGGCACTCCTACTACTACTACTACCTTGACCCCTTCCAGGAGAAGCGTGTGGCGGCAGCGATGATGATGCTGATGATGCTGATGACAGCAGAAACATTGGCTCCTCCAGAGGTGCTGTCGTTGTTATCGTTGTTGTGGCGTAAACAGCCTTCAAACACACCAGCACGAACCGCGCGTAGTAGTCTTCCACTGTGCATTCCTCCCTCCCCCTCTCCAAATCCCATCTGGTATCTGTCATATGCCAGCGCTGCTGGTTGGGCTGGCTGGTCCACTGGGAGAGCGCGGCTCCGTTGACGGGACAGGTGTGCTGCAGATTCGGGGGGTGTTGGGACTGGTTCATTCCGGCGAGGAGTTTTCTTGCTACGAGGGGGATGGAGGGCAGGCCCATGTCTTTTTGGGCGTGGTAGTCACGGTTGTTGTTGTTGTAGTTGCCCGTTGTGGTGGATCGCGCTGGCTCGATGCCGGTTATGGCACGCCAGATGTTGCTCATGGCTGTCTTGAGGGGGCTGGGCTTGCGCCGGACACGCCACTTTGGGTGATTGGCTGCGGTGGCGGGTTTGGTGCTGTTGCTTGTGAGGTTTGTTCCTACGGCTAAGACGCCGTTGCCGCTCGATAAGTTGAGGAAGCTGCTGAAGCGGTGCGGGTCGCGGGCAAGAGCGTAAATTGGATTTGCATGATATTCTAGGACGTCCTGGACGAACTGAGCCCAGGCTGACTGCAGGGCTGGCCAGGACAGGAGGAGCTTCAGGCGCGAGACGCAGATGGCTTTTGTGCACGGGCTGAGGATGTCGGACAGACGGAGGAGTCTCTCGTCGTTGGAGAGGCTTGGGGTGCTGACCAGCTTCTGAATCAAGGGGATGGTAGCGTCGAAGAGGAAGGGTGGAGGGATGATATCAGACAGAGATGGGAAGGTCAGTTTGATCAGAGGACGGCTTGGGGTGGCTTCATGGTAGTTTGAGGGGGTATCTTGGAAGGAGGATGGGGAAGGGTTGCCTATCCGCTGGGTGTGACGATGAGGACGAGCCGGTGAGCTCCCAAGCACCTGGGGAGGTGAAAGATGGAAAATGTCCCTCTCGTGTCCGGGTATGGGTTGATGAGATTGCGCATGGCTCTGTCTTCTCCATGCCTCCAAGTTCGTCGTCATTAACCTAGGCCATCCGGGTGCTTCAAGCGCCTGGGGTAGCGGGGTGGTCAAAGATTCTTCAAGTTGGCATGGGCGCTGGTCTGTGAAATCAGGAAAAGACGTCTTCTTTGTGGTAGCGACTTGCCCCACTGGGACCCTTGAGCGACCTGGCGGAACATAACTGGAAGGTTCCAGTGACCGACTCATTTGTTTATCGTATATTAATGCTGTGGTCGCAGTGTCTTGATATTACAGTCGCCACAGTCCCGTGAGGTGTAAGTGTGATGGGAATTTTAAGGTTGCTTGATCTTTGGCACTTCACATGTATATATACTTCTTTGCTACGCATGCTGCAGACTTCTATGGGTTTCGCGGTGAGAAGGGTGTGATGGTGTCTGCCTGATGTGAATGCCATGTCGCCCTGTTTCCATTGACAACCACGTCCTTTGATCCACATCCCGGAGTGGAAACCCTCAGGTGATTTGAGAAGCTTACAATAAAAAGTTTTAGATCCAGCCTCTTCAGGAGGCAAGTGACGGCGGAGCACGCAATGACATTCAAAGACGGAGCCTCACACTTTAGATCGGCATCAACAGACATGTATGCCATTATTGAAACCCGTGCATGTAATGGAACGCAACTGCATATTTGCTAGTTATAAAGTGGCCACCGCTGAGATTGTCTCCCTGCGATGGATTGAACTACCTACCGAAATTCCTAGTTTCAGCCCCAGCCCAGGTTCTTGCGAAGACTGGTTTGTTGAAGTGTTTCGCCATTCTGGGCCCTTCACGGAAAGTCTTACCACAAATTGTGTACTATCGCGGTCACAGGGTCAGTGAACTGTGTTCGCTACTCTTAGTCCCTTTACTCAATATTTTGAAGGAAAGGTCAGAACTCCAGCGGCTGCATTCCGCGCGGGAGTACTTAGGTGAGGTAGTTGATTCTTTTTTGAATCCTGTGTGAGAGGCTGAACAGGGACCTTGTTGGTTGGGAGCGTGTTTCGAGTGTTGAGAGCATACGTCTTCTGTCAGTTGCGATTTGTCCCGGGGCCTTTGTGCTAACTACTGTAGCTTGTTTCGAACAATGACATTATGGTGCAGAGACAACCAGCAAATGTCTGCGGGCATAAAGAGATTGGATACCTGGGACCTGTCACGAATGTTTAGATTCAGGTTCTTGTGAACTGGTGCATCATCCACTTATAAGCTGTTCCTCTGACGCTGGGTCGAGACACCACCTGCTCGGCTGTTGGACATCTGTTCGGGTCTGTCACGAGCAGTGGGCCCTTGGCCGAGGCAAGGCTGTGGAAAGAACTCTCTATTATGTTAATCACAAGATGGTGAGAAAAGGAAGAGAAGCTAGAAAAGCTCTCGTGATTCAAGAGATAATGCCAGAGCAAGTGGGGCACGCGCGAGCAAGACAAGCGCGCACCTCAACGGCAGGTGCCGTCGCAGGGTACATAACGGCCCTTGTATAACATTAGCTATCCAGCATGACAATGAAAGCGAAAGCGATCCAGAACCCTTCCGGCTGCTGGCTGGGTCATTACTGCCATAAGCCGCAGCACCGTTTAAAGCACCAAGCAACGGCTACTACCCAAAACCACGACAACGAGACTAAGTCAAGCGCGCCGCGCGCCGGACTGATAGAAGAACACTCACGAAGCCGTGAATGCATAATGTAAGATTGTCCTAGCCCCTACGACCCGCGTAAGAGCGGAGAGATATGGAAAAAGAAGATAGATTAATGACTTCCACTAACATTATAGTCTAGCTCATCTTAGCTCATCTTGATCTGCTGTTTCCAATATGTATGCGAGCCACTGCTGCGACGCGAGCCGGTCGGGGTGGTCTTCGGCGAG